AAGAGAGGGAGAGTGTTTCAGCAGAACATATTAAAATCAACAACATACACGCATTAATTATGGTTTGTTTTATGTTTTGCCAAATAATTACCGTGTACGTTCAAATTTTCGAGGGTTCAAAATTTCGTGTTTTCAATGAAATTTGCTCAAAAGTTAATATTCGTGTGAGCTAATTTTCGTGTTCTGGCCATAGTCTACATACAACAGAATGGCATTAGAGGTGGTTTAAATTTCGTGGATTTAAGGTGAGCACAAAAATAACGAAATTTAATACACCTCGAAAATTAAGACACGTACGGTATTGATATTATATAACTTTAGTTTCCCTGCTTGAGAAAACTTGCTACTTACGTTACATAAAAAGTTGGAGGCACAAAATTTGATTCTTAGAACTTACAAAGCTGGCAAAAGGCCATTTAATACAGGGTGTCAAGGTCTTGGGCCAAATTTTGTCAAAATTATAAAGGAGAGAATCCTTCATTTTTATATTTTTTCCCTGATATATATATATACATTCACTTATGTTGTGAAGAAAGTTTGAGCTTATTCTCATCAAAATTAAATTTTATAAATTAATTTCCAAAAGTTAAACTGTCCTATATACTACATGCATATTCAGTTAATAGCAAAAGTATAATAGTAGCTCACGCTAAAGAACAATGATAAACAAAGTAGGATATTACAATAATATAATGGTTTACCTGTAGTTTCTGATGTAAGAGACAACAAGACATGTCAGGATGACTCTTCCCTAAACTGAGACAGTTCATGTACATAATGTAAACTGATAGTTAATTATAGTTACCTTGGTAACGCTATACCATTCTCCCACCTGTAGCGCAGTTCCTGTATCACTTCATACCAAATATGAGCCATTGCTTTAAGACCTAGAGACACACAATACAATATGACCTTTGATAGTGTGTGTACATATGTAGTGGAATGAGCATACCGTATAGCAGGAAATTTTTGTTGGGTGCTAATTTTCATTTGCTTCATTGGCTATTAATTTGTAAGACAATGAAATTTTAATCGAACTAAAAGTTTGACCCACGACAGATCCTCTTTTCACTACAGCCACAGCATAGCAGTCGGTGGCATTATCAGGATCAACACAAAAGGCAGTTCTTCTCCGACTGATGGGCTCTAAATGTCTTTATAATGTGGTAACCACAAACCATAGATATTCTTCCATCTTAAACCATACACGTGGCACAAATTAAATAGGCATGACAGTGAAAAGTATAACAAAAATAAAATCAACAAAAAGATCTTGTAAAGCCTGCTTAAAAAGACAACGAAAGTTTCTGGCAACAAAAATTTCCTGCTACAATGTATACATGAATATTGAATTTTACATTGTGTGCATGTACATGAATATTGAATGTACATTGTGTATGTCACAGTAAGTTTATACATACCATAATCATTATGAATGTTACAGAAAGCTTTGGCTAGACGCATTGTGAGACTATTAGGAGGAGCTGACTTTAATTCACGAGTGACAGAATCCTTAAGATAAATAATGATAACATGATTATTGTGTAATGAAAAGATAAGACAAACTTCAGTTAATTGTTCATGGCCAGAGACACTGCTACCAGGAACAGAATCAGGAAACAAAC